ATGAAAAGAAAGGAATCAACATGAAGATGACATGCAGGAGCAAACTCACAACAATGATGAATGGAAGACAGTCACGTTCACCAAAGTGAGGAAAATAACCATGAAGAAAGAGATCCCAGAATCATCAAGCAAGGCAGGTATAAATGTAAATATATTTGACGCCAACACAGGTAAATTCCTCAGCTCTCAAACTCTTAATTATAAAGTGAGGCCTAGAAGCCCGTATTTGGATATGAATATGACTGGAAAAATCAACAACACTGATGATCAACAAAAGCATGAAACTAAGTTACAAACAAAAAACCACTTTTTAATCCTGATGGAAGAGGACATGGTTTTGGACAAAACCATAAACCAGCCAACGGATAAAAAAAATTATTAAAAATTAAAAATGACTTACCAAATAATACCTCTACTAATGGACAAGTGTCAACCCTAATGGAGGACACAACTAATCAACATCACTTAAACACTTCAAGTAATGTCAGTAACCCTCCTCCTAACTACACTTATAATATCAATGACACTAAACCTTTTAATAACAATACATTGCATGCCTCTAATGACATATCCTACTTGTCCGCCTCTCCAACACTCATGGAAAAAATGGCCAATGACATGGGACATGTATCCCCAGCCCAGTCTACCAATTTCTCTAATAAAAATCATATGCTAACCCTCTCAAATAACATGCAAACAAAATCTTCTATCATTGCAAAAGATACTGCAATCTCTTTTAAATCCAAGAACTCCACAACTCACCCTATAAGTTCTCTAACCTATCCAGATAAAGCCAAGGATTCCTCTATCACAAAGGAGGCATCACAGTCTTCTTCACATGCTTCGACTCAACAGAATCCAAAACATGGCAAAGCAAGCTCCACTCAACCCTCAAATGCAAAATATCCCCACGATCTTCATTCAACCACTACCAGTAAACCACCAACCACTGTCTTGGGTAGAACTAGGGATAATGGGACATGCCATATCATTCAACATAATGTTGAATGGAAGGGAGACAGTGATAATCTTACAAAACTCCCACTATCTAGCTCAACTGATATCAGAGGGCATTCGACTTTCTATGAATAACTTCATGAACCATATCTGGGTGAACAACATCCGACACCTTGTGGCTCCAAACTCAACTCCAAACATCATTCAAATGATGATAAGGGAGTGTAACATGCCACCTCACTTTGTTCCAATTCAGAACACCCATCCTGTGATGGATCTACCCTTCTTCACCCCAGAAATAGCGACGAGCATCAACCTAATGTTCACTCCTTGGGATGTACATGCACCCCAAGCAAAACCACCCCAAGCAAAACCACCTCATGCAACTACTGCCACCCCCCATCAGAATCAAACACAGCCTTAAACCCAACCAAACCCGCCAAATCAAGAGGAAATGATGGAGGAGGAAATGATGGAGGAAGCAATGGAACCACCCGTCAACTTACTACCAGAACTAGTGGTAGACGATTCAAATATCGACAAGATAAAGGTATTCATCTTCACGGAGATGCAGGAACAGATGCAGGTGCTCAATTGTCCAGTGGCACTCTACAAGTGCACCATGGACATAAGGCCCCCAATAGATCTCAGTGGGACAACATGCAATGATTCTAGTTCCCTTTCAAAGGAGGAACTCAGTTCATGCACCAAGAGTGCTAGAGAATGGATACCTTCACAACGGGACAATCAACATGAATAGGCCAATCTCCTTCATCATTTGGAATGTGCGTGGGGGAAATAACGACACCTTTAGTCTTAATCTACGGGAAATGGTTGACATGCATCACCCTTGCATGATCACACTATTGGAAACTAGGATGGACAACCACATGTCTCTCATAAACCCCTTTGGATTCTGATATGATAGAGATTTCGGCAGAAGGGCAATCTGGTGGCATGTGTGGGATCACCATATGGTCAATATCCATAGTTTTGTGCGTAGGAATCAAGAAATTAGTGCTACAATTGAGGTAATCCCTACTGGAAAAACTTGGTTATTCACCTCTATTTACGCTAGTACTAATATTAATCTAAGAAATCAAATGTGGAACAACCTTATTAATATTAATGCTAATTATCAAGGGCCTTGGCTAGTAGGAGGTGATTTTAATGATGTTCTTGACTCTTCAGAAAAAATGGGTGGTAACCAAGTGAATAAGAACCGTTCTAAATATTTATGGAACTGTATCAATAGTTGTAACCTGATTAACCTAGGTTTTAAAGGCTCTAAGTATACTTGGACTAATCATATGAAATCAAAAAGGGGCTTAATCATGGAAAGACTTGATAAAGTATTAGTTAACAGTGAGTGGATTAGTTGTTTTCCAAATGCTTCAGTCACTCACCTTCCAAAAACCCATTCTGACCACAATCCCTTGCTTCTTGAAATAATCCCTAGACCAAGTACCACACTGCCTAAACCCTTTAGGTTTGAAACATATTGGTGTAGACACCCATATTTTATTAATCTAGTAAAAAGAAGTTGGACTAAGTATAACTATATAACCTCGACAAACTCTTTTCTTACTAATATTAAATCTTTGAAGGATGAAACTTTTGGAGATCTATACAAAAAAAAGAATCTTAGCTAGATTAAAAGGTATACAAATTTCCAGTCACTACTATAGAAGCCCCTTCCTTCAACAATTGGAAAATTCCTTACAAATTGAGTATAACAACTTCCTAAAAATTGAGAATGATTATTGGAAGCTAAGGTCCCGTATTTCTTGGTTATAAGAAGGCAATGCCAATACTAGATTCCACCATACTATGACATGTAACAACAAAAGGAAAAGCAAAATTAGCTTCTTCAAAAATGATGCAGGAAATTGGATTAATGATCCATCTGAAATTTTATCACACGCAAAAAATTATTTTCAAAACACCTTCAACACTACTCATACTTTAACCAATTGGATTAGTATATTGCAAGAAGCCTTGACAACCCCCTGATGTCGTGTGAAGTCACAAATGCAATTTTCTCATTCAAACCGTTCAAAGCTCCTGGTCCTGATGGGATTCATCCTTTTTTATCAAAAATATTGGAAAGTGATGGGTCCTTCTGTCATCAACTTATGCCTTCAAATTTTCCAGAATAATTCCATATCAAAAGGTATCAACAACACCTACATCTGCCTCATTCCAAAAATTTACAATGCCAATAATTTAAAAAATTTCCGTCCAATAGGTCTCTGTGATACTATGTACAAACTAGTGACAAAAATAATTGCTAATAGATTGAAACCCTTTCTAAATGATCTAATTAGCCCATACCAATCCAGTTTTATCAAGGGAAGGAGGACCAGTGATAACGCGATCATAATCCAAGAATTGATTAATCAATTCAAGAAAATCAAAGGGAAAAGGGCTAACATGATCCTAAAAATTGATTTAGAAAAAGCTTTCGACTGCCTTGAATGGTCTTTTATCTATAGAATGCTAAAGTTCTTTCACTTTCCCCCATCAATCTCTAAATTAACAATGAATTGTATTTGTAGTAGCAATATAGCAATACTAGTCAATGGTTCAACCACTGAATTTTTCAATCCTAATCGAGGGATCAGACAAAGGTGTCCCATCTCACCCTATATTTTCATACTCTATATGAAAATGTTTTCTTGACTCATCTCCTACGAAGTTGATATTTGCCAATAGGACCCAATTCACTTAAATCCTCGTAGTCCCGAAATATCACACCTCTTCTTCGCAGACGATCTCACTCTTATGGCCAAAATAAATGACAAATCTTGCAAAGCTATTAAAAAATGTCTCACCATCTTTTGCGATCTATCTGGTCAAAACATCAACTTACAAATATCTAGGATAATATTTTCTAGGAACTGCTCTCCTAATGTATCAAAGGACATGGCAAATTTTTTTAACATTCAAATCAACAACTCTTTTGGGAAATACTTAGGATACCCCATTCTCCAAAATCAGCCTCAGTTGAAGATTATCAATTTATAATTGAAAACATGTAGAAAAAATTAACTGCATGGAAAGCCAAATTTTTCAATATTGCGGGCAGAACAATATTAGCTTCCTCCTCATTAAATTCTATACCCAGTCATGTCATGCAATATACATACCTCCCTAATAAAGTTCTTAACCAAATAGATCGTATCCAACGTAACTTCATCTGGGGAACAACTGACAATGCAAAGAAAATTCACTATGTAATCTGGAATACTGTTACAGCTACAAAGGAAGAGGGGGGGTCTAGGACTAAAAAAGGCCAAGACAAAAAACCTCATTTCCTTTGCCAATCTTGCATGGAGAATGCTCTCAACCCAACCACTCTATGGTCCAAAACTATCATCACTAAATACCCCAGAAATACTCCAAAAATCCAAACCTCTTTCATCTGGAAAAGCATATTGAAAGGATGGTCCATCCGCTCAAAAAGAATTAGGTGGCAACCAAGCAAGAACTCGAATTTGGACCTATGGAACTCCACTTGGATTCCAAACCATCAATCACTCAGGGCTTGCATTGAAGGTCCCTTAACCATAAAAGACTCAACTCTAAGACTCAGGGACATAATTTCCAACCTTGCAGGTCATTAATGCTTAAGGAGAAGGACCTACTACTACAATATAATTTCAGACAAGATAACTCAGTGGCGGATGCATTAGCCAAGGAAGCAAAAAACAAGCAATATAAACCAGGAAGCATAAAACTTTTTGCTAATCCACCCCTTTTGTAAAGCATCACCAGACAAAGGATCAAAGTAAGGAATGCATCAATATAAAAACAGTATCTCTTTCAATATGCAATATGCTTAGGGCATTTGGTAACAAAAATGTCCCCGCTAGTAGTAGCATTTTGTACTCAGGGCTACCTACCCCATAACTACCTCTACAACATTATGACATGTAATATGTCCTTTATCTAGTATATCTAATAAACTAATATAAATCCTATTATTACTCAAAAAAGATAAATACAGTCCATCTTTAAACAAAGGAGAAAGAAATTTATTCTAAAGGAAAAGAAAATTTCATTATTAGGAAGTGGCTCCCTCCCCCTCCCGTTTTTTTGAGAAACCCTAAACTCTCTCCCCCTTAACAAAGAGAGAGAGATAGAAAAACCCTAGCACCGAACTGATTTCTCGAAAGCTAATAAATCGGCATACGTTGATTACTTCCGATTGGCTCCAACTGCAAAAAGGCGGAAGGAATTTAGGTGTTCCGTTGAGGAAAAATGGGGAAGAAGAAAAAGAGAGCATCCGATAAAGTATGGTGTTATTATTGTGATAGGGAATTTGATGATGAGAAGATTTTGGTTCAGCATCAAAAGGCTAAACACTTCAAATGCCATGTTTGCCATAAGAAGCTTTCCACTGCTGGTGGCATGGCCATTCACGTTCTTCAGGTTCACAAAGAGACCGTCAGCAAGTGCGTAATTTTTTTGATTTTGATTTTTATTTTCTATAATGATAATTCTCTAGCTACATTCTCAACTTTGCCCTTTTTAGCCCTCTGTTTTCATAGATGTCTTTTCGCATTGAATGCGGTATTTGTATGTTTTGCTGTTGTTGCTGTCAACATACTAGCTAAGTTTTGCCTTACTTTAGCTCTCATATATAGAAGATTGACTAATATTTGAAGTAAATACCTCTAAAATGATGTTTACAACAATACACTTTTACCAATTCCATAATAGAAGGAGAAGGATTTGTTCTATTAACTACCGGCATCCTCTCAATTGTGACCGATTAAATCTGCCTACCGAGGCTAATGCAGATGGAGGAAATCACATGGTCGTTCTTTTTTGTGTCTCCCGAGTAGCAGGATGAACATAAGTAGTCTAAAAGGATGTCTTTATTTTAATGTAATTTTTGGCATGAACAGGAAATACCAGTGTGTATAGATGATTTGGATAGGTAATTAGGATTTATTTCAATCTTTCTAAGTCTTGGTGGGTAGAGTTACTCGGTACTTGTGCTGGTGGGAGGTACTAGGTATCCGGAAAATAGTCGAGGTGCAAGCTTGCTTAGACACAATTTTTATAAAAGAAAAGTTGATTGTTGATTAGCTTCTAAGACTTTCCCAACTTGGCATGTTGTATGAATGCCACTTCCTTTACCTGATTTATCCAAAGACAACCAATTTTAGAGGATTTACATTAAACAAATTGAATATACTAGTAATTTAAATTATAATTTGTCTAAGAATTCATAACCGTTCTGGTGATCCGGACCAGGCAAACCGGTAATTGGGCTAATTTGTTGGCCTTTGTAAGGTTATAATGGAAAACTCTCTTATTTTTAAGCAACTAACTTTAATCTCTTTGTCGATGTTCCCCACTTTTTTGCTCCATATATCCAGATAAACTAATTGTCTTTGCTATCGAAATTTCACGTATTTCTTGGATGGTTCTGATAGATGATGTATCTTTTTTTTTTTTTTTTTTTTTTTTGTAGAAAATGCTTTTGCCCTGTTTAAATCTTTATATGTGAAGATTACTCTTCTTTCTTTATTTGTTGTTATGTTATTTTTTAATTGGGCAGGGCCCCTAGGGTTTTGGTGTAGTGGTAAAAATGCAACTCATAATGTGTGTGTTAGACGCACATCAAGGATTCGAACTCTTGGCGCACACAAAGGCCTAGTGTTTAAGCGGAGAAGGGTAGAGGAACATACCCATTATCTACTGAGTGTCAAACCATGCGACGCTGGTTGTCGAGGATTTCTCAGTTATTAAAAAGATGTAGTTAGGTCTTAATTAGGTGGAGTACATAGGTGGCAACTTGTCATTTTTTTATTTGGATACCTAATCCAGGGCTCGACCTATGAGCACTTTATGTTCGAAAATGTGCCTTATTGAACATGTCTCGCGTGTCTGCCTCTGCCACCCAAAATTGAGTGTGTTTTACCAAGAAATGGAGTTTTTGATAGAAAAATTGATATTGTTTCAAGTCCTCTTCTCCAGATTCAAAGGAGAACCCTTCTCCTTCTTTTCACTAGTTATTTGCCACGTCAACAGTTAGTAACATCAACGCACTTTAGCTTGTTTCTGGAGCTTACCCTGTTATTAAGGGGAAAGGACTGCAAAGGATTCTGTTAAGAGAAGCTTTAGCCCTTGAACCTGAAACGACTTTTATGGGCTATCTCAGTGGTGTCTGACTTTAAGCTACAAAGCAATGCGAAGTGAGGGTTCGTCGCTTTATGTTGGAAGCCGTTTGTTTAGGATAAAGTTTGCGCTTCATTGTACAATGAAGCGCCCAAAGCGACCCCTATTAGAAATGGTTGTTGAATCCGAGGAGTTCTTCCTATAGGCACTATTGTATGTTGGATGTTGAAATTGGTTATTTTAGTTGAACTTTGATTATTATAGTATTAGGTTAATAATGTATGGTATTTTTAATCTTTCTTAAAATGTGTGATTCACTTTAAAGAATTTTTTGGTTTATTTCGTTATTTTCGCTTCACGTCCNTATATATATTTGGGCATTGATAAGCATCACTTTTGAGAGACTTATGTTGGATCTAGGGAGAAGCAGTTGTAAGGAGAGAATTAAAATTTTAGTAGAATAATGATGGGCCATGTGGAAAAAGAGGGAAAGGCATGAGTATAACTGATATGCATGAGAAACATGTTGTTGGAACTAAAAAGAAACAGAAGAGTCGTTTGAATATGGTTTGAAGCACAAAATGGACACTTTTATGGGTATGAAATGGTGGGTCATGTGGATGGCTCATAACATCATGTAGATTTTGTGGAAAGAGAGATATAAGTTGAGTTCTTAAGAAAAAACGTCCATTGATAGTACTTTGCTTACTGATAAAAAAATGTCTAGATAGTATTAAATTCTCGCACCCAAGGGTGTGGCCTTGTGGTCAATGAATTGTGTGCATACCTTGGGGACCAGTTTAAATCCTAGCAGAGAAAAAAAATTAGGTGATCTCTTTTTGATAAGAGAAATACGAGGTGATTTTGCTTTGGTTGTCATAGTTATCCCGCACTTGTTGCTTCGGTAGGTGTGGGTACATTTAACTCTTAAGCTCCTTGGAGCTATAAAGTGTTTTTGTACCTATTTACTTGCTTAGCGTTATTTGGGATTTGAATACTTATTTACTTATAAAAACGGTTCTTTCTTTTATCAGTAAAAGGAAAATTCCATTAGTAGCAAAACAACACTAAGGAGGTGCTTGGCCATTTTGCATCAGGATCATCAGCAAAAAGCAAAAACTGGTTAGCTCTCCTCTATAAACACCACATATCCATGTAAAGATTCTATAGTGTCTAACATAGAGCATCATTTGCCCTACTCCATTTTACACCAAAAGAAAAACAAAAAAAATAGAAAGTTGATTTTTATTTATCTTTAGTGACCCTCAAAGCCCCGTTGGTTCCTTTCGTTCCTTAAGGTCCACCAATGCAGGCTATGATTGTGATCCACTTCTTCGTAGTTTCTTTATCTTGACCTTTCCTGTATAAGCATCTTAGCAGGTCAGATATAGTCTCAGGCATCGCTTGTAGCCCATCATGCACAATATTACAAAAAAACAATGGCTCTTTTGAGGAAAGGGGAAAGGGAAGATTTAGAAATTTCCTTTCTGTGCTTTTAGGAGTGAATTTTTGAGAATACAGATTTGTGTTTGAAGTTAAATGGAAGTGGTTAACAAGAGTTAATTTGGAAGATTTTGATACATATGATGATGCTTAAAGGGAGAAGCTTTGATTCTTCTTATAATTTGGTAACTAATGGTGTCTTGGTAAAGTATGAGTATGGTTGATGGAGATGATTGAGCTTTCAGGTGAAGGGAAAAAATTCCCTTTCATCTAACTACCGGAGGATGATTTGTTTTTCAAAGTCAGCTCCCATCCCACAAACAGTGGGAAAGGAGGATGAAGGTTTTGCAGAGATAGACATTGTACAAGAAATATTGTTAATTACGGTTTCTAACATATATATGTTCCATATATTCCAAAGGAAAATGAAGATATGCTGTTTCAAATTATTCAAGGAAAATAAAGATTTTTATTGTAAAAGATAGAAATTTGCATTATGCTGCTTCTAGGATCCTCCTCCTCCTCGTTATTGCATTTACTTGAAAACTTGCATCTTTATGAGCTTCCTTCTTTAATCCCTCTATTAAAGCTGTTCATGAAAGTGTAATGAAAATTTATATCCAATTGAGTGGGTGCTTACTTTTGAATACAAGTTCAAGCAGATACCTTGAAGGATGTGTAAGAATATAGTTCTGTTAATCCGAATATTTTGGGATTAGCTTGAAAATTTGGTCATATTAGAGAAGGAACTGTTAAGTTTTTTATTCTCCTTTTGAATTTATAAAACAAAAAAAAGTATCGTTATGTTAAATAGTCACAATGTGACAAATGGAGAAAGTTTAAATGTAAATTTTGTTCTGCAACCGGTAAGGAAATTGTGTCTGTTAACTTTGAAACAAGAAAAATAATGTGTAATTTTTGGTATTCTTGTCATGATATCCCTTTATGCGCAATTTTTTTGTGTGATTATTAACAAAATTATTTATGTAACCTGAAAAATAATGCACCATGTAAAGTAGGTCAGGTTTTTGGTTTATACTATAGGGAATATCACCGAAAAAAATATAGATATGCCAATGCCTGATATATTTTCATATTTTAGAATTTGCCTAATGTGAAGTTGCAGAAAGAATAATTTATTCTCTATATCAAAAGTTAAATTTTATAGTATAAGATCATTCTATAAGAGCAGTCTTGGTGCATAATCTCCAGCTATGCATAGGGTTCGGGGAACCATTGGGGTTTTATGCATGCAAAGTTACCTTGCATTTCTACAAGAGGATGTTTCCTCTACGGAAACTTATTTAAACCTTCTAAAACTAAAGAGACTCTTCTATTCTGCTCTCTGGGAATATGGCTTGAATCCTGATCTCTGGTCATATGGCAACAATTTTAGCCGTTGCACCAAGGTTCTCCTTCTCTATCATCCATTAATGCAACTAAAATTTTTTGAATGTCATATTGCATTAGATCTAGTAGGACACATGTGGGTATATGTTCCATATAGGTGATTCTAAGACAAATCATTGAGTATTGCAATAAAACGGGTCCAATGGAGCAAATTGGATGTTAGGGATTTATATAGCAGACCCTTACTTGTTTGGGATGGAGACATAGCTGTTGATGTATACTACCTTAGGTCTATTGTGGATGGGTGCTTTTGAGTTTAAAAGCAATTTTGACCTTGTCTTTCAACCCGCTATCTTTGTAAATTCTTAATTCCTCTTGCCAAATCATCTTGCCTGGTCAAATTACCCAAGGAAGCCTTGGCAGGGAGTAAGTGAGGAGCCAATATGCTGATAATTGTTTGTGCTTTTTTTTAATTATCAAATGTATTAAGCAAGACTATTTGGCTGTTACAGGGTACCGAATGCCAAAGCCGGCAGAGAGTCAACAGATATTGAAGTATATGGAATGCAAGGAATCCCACCTGATGTCTTAGCAGCTCACTATGGAGAGGAAGGTATGAGCATTATAGCGATGTGCTTGAATTTGCCATTTGAGTGACATGGAGGAGTCCTATGGTTTGCTGAATTGTGACAAGTAGAGAAGTTACTTTTGCGGTCTCGTCTTGCTTGCTATACCATTGTATTGTTACTATTGAATAGCAACTAATGTGGCAAGAATGTTCCCTTAACTTGGTTTTAGGAACTTAAATTCAGGGTGTTGAAAACTTGAAATAGTGCTACTGAAGTTCAGGGCATTAGTTTGAATATAGTTAAAGAAGTAGCTATCTGGAGCTTGTATCATATTAATATCTTACTTCTATTGGTTGTTAAGTCTGTGTTTCAGTATGGGCTCCTGACTAGTTCTACTTCTGTATAAGCGTGGAACTTGCAGAAATCGGAAGCTTGTTTTTAAGTTTTCAACCTTGCATCTATTAAACTAAAAGCAGTTGATGTTCCGATTTCTCTACTTGCTGTCCTCTGGTTTTTATGTGTTTAAGCTTTTAGTACCTTTGTGTTTGAGCTTTTATTGACTTCCGTTATCTCATCTTTGATTTAATATCAGCGTATTACCTTTTCAGCTTTCTGCAGATCTTTCCCATAGATGCTGCTAGAGTTGTCTGTTCTAGCTTCTCTGCTTTCATGACTACATAAACCTAAGTTTGTTCTCTCACTGGCTTTTATTTTCCTGTAGATGATGAGGCCCCAGCAAAAACTGCCAAAGTGGACATTCCGTCATCCCAGTATGTTGGTGGTGCAATTCCAGGATACCCTCCCCGGGCACCTTTTGGTGCAATGCCACCACTGTATGTTAGTTGTGGAAATGCTTTTTTTATGCGTTCAGAATTCCTTGTGCTTGAATACATTAGGATACTTTCCTTTTCATATGATGTTGCACGAGTTTACTTTTCACAAAGAAAACACTTCCGATATTTGGGATTTGTGAGAAAATATAACCCCATAAGTTGCGAGACATGATCTCTTCATTTGTTCTTGAAGTCTGGAGTCAATTCATTTTTATTTTTTCTATCAAAGCATATGTTCTCCTTGAATAAGTTTTGTTTAAGATGGAATCTGTCATTCGTGTCCGTTTATCAGTATCAAGGAGTATATTCCTTGAATAAGTTTGTGTGTAAGACGGAATAAATGCAAAGAAAAATTCATACATCTTGAAAAAGGAAAACTTTTACAATTTTGACTAGTAACACAGCCATCAATACAAAATAAGAGAACCAAGTCACCAACTATTTCTTTTTAAGAAGATAGACTTAAGAATATTCCAATATGGAGCCCATCCGGGACAGTGATTTAGCAGAAGTCNGTTAGGATCAGTATTACTTGGTCAAACGAGCAGAATAATGAATATATGAGATTAGGAATCTAGCCCTTTAATATAGTATATCCCAGCTCTGACTTTGTTATAGTTATGACTGATGGTGTGGCATACCTAAATTTTGTCAACAATTGGTCTGTAAAGAATTCTAGCGCTAGTTTTTCAGGTGTCCAGCAGCATGGGTTTCAGTATTAAAGTTGACCCATTTCTTCCTTGTTATAGTTAGCCTTCTCGCATATTGATAAAACAGAATTATGTCTCCAAGGGATGGCTGAGTAGTTGAGGGATAGCAGTAACAATCTTGAAATTCCATGTTTGAATCCCAACTACAACACTGATATGAACTGGCACGGCAGCACTTATGCTTGTGAGCTCTAACTGGCTACTCGGTGGACTAGTCGAGGAGACTGTCGCCACAAAATAAAAAAGATAATAGGGGAAATTTTAGCCTTGACATTTTTATCTTTTTGTTAACCTTTTCTTCTACATTCTGTTGTTTATTGGCATGCTTTGGATTTATTAACTTTGAATCAGCAGCTCCAATAGGTAAATAAATCTTACATGGATCTGGCCTGTTTGTGCAGCTATAATCCTGCTGTGCCAATGCCTCCTGCTGGTTGGCCAGTCCCCCCTCGGCCCCAACCTTGGTATCCACAATATCCTGCTGTCTCGGTTCCACCTCCTGCACCAATGGGTCTGCCGCAACAACCATTATTTCCTGTGCAAAATGTGAGGCCTCCAATGCCAGCTATTGCACCACCAACACTTGTCAGTCCTCCAGGCCTCCCTGCATCTAACTCACCTGTTCCCGTGTCTCAGCCCTTGTTTCCTGTTGTTCCTAATAACAACAACCTTGCCCAAAGTTCGCCATTTTCAGTGCCAATGCTGTCAACAAGTGTGCCATTGAGCTCTGCAGCTGATGCAAAGAGCTTAATTGACCCAAACATGAGCAACAACACTCCTGCCACCATTGGTTATCAGATTTCAGGTATTCAAGGTCTTCTGTTGTAATATCTTATCCATTCTGTTAAAGGGCTGACACTTTCGACATGGTTCTTGTTGGGAATTTACTTATTGCCAATTTACTGTTGTGACTCCAGATAGGATAAGCAACTCTCTTCTGATCCATTAGTAAGAAGTAGTATTCCTTGATTGCTTCTGGAATTGAAATGCAAAGCCTGTTTGTTGTCCTTGATTCTTTCAAAACTTTGTGAAGTAGTTTTGGCATCTTGTGGAGAGAAAATTTATTAGTTGCTTAGATGAGGTGATAATGTGAATTTTATTTGATGCACATGCACTAATATTTGGGTGAGAAATCAGAAAAAAGTGGAAACTCCATGGTGTCAGATTATTTTTTTGGGTTTTAACCTTGTAATACAATATTTAGTATTGGTAGTGGGAATTAATTTAGGTGTCATAAAACACTACTGTGGATCCATGGGTGAAAAAATGGGACAAAAGGGTTCTTAGGTGCAATTTTTTTTATATTGATGAATTTTGACTTTTGAAGCTGTTGGCCTTACAGTCTTTGTACAGCATGCATTTTTCTCTTATTTCTGACCTGAATCCTTGTGGAAGACTAGAAAAGAACATCCTATTTCTTCCTCAGATAATAATTTCCGTTAAATATTATGCAAGTTATCTTGCCTGATTCTCCGCTCTGATAGAGTTTTTGTTGGGTGGTAGAGTTTGATTTATGATTTTATCTGTCAATTCTTGGTTATATGAGTTATACTTTTGTAAGAATCAAGGCTCATATAGAATGTGGAAAAGCTCTCTTCTTCATTTCTCATTTCATTCTCTCTTTTCTGCAGCCCCAGCACCAGTAAATTCACATTCTTATGCCTCTGGCCCAAATACCGGTGGGCCCTCATATGGTCCACCACCTGTTATTGCAAACAAAGTTCCAGCTAATCAACCAGCAACAAATGAGGTCTATTTAGTTTGGGATGATGAGGCCATGTCCATGGTCAGTAGTCTTTCCGTTTTAATTAATATAGTTAATATCTTACAGTTAATTTGTCATTCTAAGTGTTGATGTGAAATATTTGCAGGAGGAAAGAAGAATGTCCTTACCAAAGTATCAGGTGCATGATGAGACTAGCCAGGTAAGTTATAATTACCTAATACTTGTATTCCTTCCTATGGCTATGGATATGGCCTTAAGTTATACATATGTCCAGATGGTTGGTGTTAGTTTCATTTCTCAGATTCAGTTGTTTACTATTCTTTCATATTCGTAAAGCAAATTTGTAAGTCTTTCCTTTCTCCTTCATCTTGTTGAGAATAGCTAGTACTCTTGCATGAGTATCTGATAATCCGTTAATTATACTGTATGTTTCAACCCCATTAATTGATGGGCTTCTTTATCTTCTCTTGGCCATTCTCCGGTTGGCAAGCAATCCCAACAGTTTTATGGTCATCAAAGATTCAAGTATGTATCTTCATCATCTTTTGCTGGTAGTTAAAGTAATGACATTTCTGACTACTATGCTGCCACCCACTCAAGGAATCTCCAACTAGCATCACACAAGAATAAGAACAGCGTGTATGTGTTATTCTTGGAAATTCCTTTTCCTGCTGTAGTTACATGTTCTCCTTGAGCTTTACTTTGACCTTAAAATGAGTTGGGTTTGGGTGAGCAAGCATAGAGGCTACAGATATTTGCAAATTACTTTGATTATTTTATAGATATTTATGGTCGAACAGTGGTTCAAATTTGGCCCAGGTCAGATTCTTTTGCCAAATTCAGAAAAACAGGCTATGTTTTTGACTCATACATCGTCTTAATAACCTTTGAGTTTCTATATTAAACTTTCCTGTCTGTGGTTCCTTCTTTCAGATGACTTCAATAGATGCGGCAATAGACAGAAGAATATCAGAAAGCAGACTTGCAGGGCGCATGGCTTTTTAAGACCTGGTCATTTTGCTCTGGTTGGCTGGGTGCTCGTGCAACTGTAGGAAAATGTTCTAACTTTAAAGAAGTTTTAATTTGAGAAGATTTGCCCTTCGGATGGATTCATAGGATGGTTTAGATGTTGTATTCTTTGTGGAAAAAACATATTGACAAGAGCATTCATTTTTACATGAGTTGGAAAAGAATTTGAAATGGAGCACATATGGCAGAGTGGTTTGCCTGGGATATATAACCTGTACTGCATTTGGCTTTCAAGACAGTTAATTGCCTTTTTCAATTCATTTGTGTAATATCATCTTGGAAAATCATCTTTAAAATAGTAAATAACTTGAACAAAGTTCCTCATGCATGCTCGATTTTCTAAAGGCTCAGTGCCCAAAGGGAAGTGACCGATCCAGCCACTTTTTTGTGAATTTATCGGAACAGGATTTGTTTCCAGGGGGGAACCTGTATAAATGTACGAAAAATAATTCATAATTTAAATATGTTTTTGACACTGTCAAGCGGTTAGCTTTTTGCCACTGCAATTAACTATCTGATATTTTCTTGCTGCATTTGGCATGTTAATGGTGTTGATTTATTACTGGATTTTGCTTTTTGATTCGTGGATTTCCCTTTTTGCTTGCTTGTCGTGGGATAGATGATTTATTTCAGTAATTCTGCCCTTTTCTACAATTGTGTAAAATATCATTATTAGGTGTGAGAAATATATTATGCAAGTTCTGATGGTCTTTCCCCATAGAATGCAATAGAAGAGTTCTAGTATTACATTCTCGAAATTAGGTAAATTGCCTTTTTCATGTGCATGAGTATCAAAATTTGTTCTTTCCTTCTAATCCCTCATATACAAGAGACCACATTTTTTTGAGGTCTTGAAGCTAAATTTTGTATCTTTTCTTCCAATCTAATGTATATATAAACACATCTCTAATTTCGGAAGGTCTAACAAGTAAACAAGGCACATTTTGTAGATGAATGGGTATACAAAAACAAATATTACTACTATATTGACAATGCCTCAATACCTAGCAAGTTGATTGTATATAGGAAACTTTACTGTCCAAGTGTCACAAAAAGCGTACATAGCAAAATAAATAAGTAAACAAAAAGAGCACAAAAATGAAAAAGTATATTCCTTTTATATTTTTCACATTAACTAGTAATAGGGTACGCGCGCGTGTAGTCATGTCAATGAATACAAAATTCTTAAAAATTACATAAATATTATATTAATGTGCCCTGAATTATAAAATAAAATTAAATGAAAGTCTTTAATATAGATAGATAGATAAATATTACAACATAAGCAAAATCTTGTTCAATTTTAAATTTCTAATATTAGGAGTCCTACATAATTCAAATAAAAAAATTTAGGTACTTAAAGTCTTAAATGTTAAAAAATAAATAATATTTTAATTTACAGTACATTATTAGATCTTTTTGGAATAAAACTTGATCAACAAACAGCTTTGTGGAATTACATAATTATAATCTTTATAATTTATTTTTTTTATCTGTCATTCACCTAATTATACATTATGCTTCTAGAAAATAATATAGAATATCAAATACATTATTTATATATTCTATACATATTTATTAATACGTTGTTACTATTATTACTTTTAGTAAAAGAAAACATAACATTTACTCTTATATCCTATATACAAATACTATTTTAGGAGCTATTTCAATCCTAGTTTTATTATTATTATTAATATTTATGATTTTGAAGTCAATAAATTTCAAAATTATTTAAATTCTTAATTAGATGTTTTTAATGCTATACGAACCATACAAACACTAAAATAAATAAGTGAATGAAATATAAAAGTCGAAAATAAAAACAAAATCCCGTCGTTGACATACATGAGATCTTTCACCCGTTTCCTTCAATCTTTTTTTCTTTATTATGTTTTTTCTCTTTAATATAATACTCCTAAATTTGAATGGAGTTGAAGTGTAAAACTTTATTAACAAAACAAACTCTTACAAAGCGGACGAAACTTTCCTAGTTTTGATTGAAATGTGTAGAAATTTCAGAATTAAAAAATTAAATTCTAAATATTAGGAAAATAAATAAATAAATACTCTTACATATTAGGAAAATAATTAAATGACTATTCCTAAATATTAGGAAAATTTAATGAATATTTTGTCCATTATGAACTATATTTTAAAAGGATAAAAAAGGCGAACGACATTTCGCTAAGGGCCTTCGTACTTTTAATATAGTATATAAGATAAATTAATTTAACTTAACAAAACAAATAAGTTATACAGTACCTAATTCGAATTTGCGCAGAGAGGTCCTACTTTGGAGTAAAACACTTTACCAAAAATAATTCTATTCTTATGGCTCAAATTCATGACATATGGTTTAGGATGGATACTACTCCACCACAACCTTCTAATTGTTAGGCCGTATTAAAATAACTACTCCATAACTTGTTTGGTTCAAATTATTTTTTTATATTAAAGTAGTAATTGATCTATTGTATTTGATTAATTTTAAGTTAAAAGGTCATCTCTTTTTCTTTTATCACATCGTTAATTCGTTATTAGAAAAAAGAAAACACTTTTTCAACTATCACACACTTCTCCAACTAAAGTAAACAAATTTCGAATTGAAAATTTATAATCACTCTTCTATATAATCAAATTCAAATTTTATAATAAATTTACATCTGACAATAAATTAGAAACGCTCTAGGTTTCGACCTGTTTGCTTAAAGGTCAATAGATTTTAAACCAAGGGCATTACGGACATTCACATTAGCTGCCCGTCCACTTTCCCTTAAGCCCTCAACTTCATATTTCCAGTTCTTTCTCCTTTCCTCTCATGGTCATTGTCTTGGTTTATTGGCTTTTTGGCTCTCTTCTCCAGCGATAGAGTGGATCATTATCTACTTCCTTCGCTTATGGAATAAATCTATCGCTTATCAAGTAGCTGGTAGTCTCTCTCTCTCTCCCTCCCTTTGTGCTTTTGCCTTTTGCAATTTCATTTTTTGCTGTTTTTATTTCTTAAACCTTTAGATTCGGTTTCTTTTACGCACAAATGGCTGATTTGGTTAGTTGTGTCGATTTTCTTAATTTTATTAATGGGGTTAAGAAAAATGTTAATGGGGGGTAACATCGAGATATTAATATTAATATTTTGCAGACTTGCTGGGAGAAAAAAGTATGAACAGAAGGGAAAATCTACAACAGCAGTGCAAACATTAGCATGTGCATCTGGATTTGGTTCCTTAAAAACTTGGTGTTGATGTGGAACACTAAACAAAGAAGCTATTCATGTAAGTCGTCAAATCTTATAGTGTGCTCCCACGATGTATGGGAGCACATTTTAATTCACTATTGATTTTATTTGTTCTGACTGCTCGACAACAAATACATGCCTTACATGTGTCCTCAATTATATTATATGCATTTAGACATGTCATAATTAGTAATATGCATGTAGATGATAATTATATTTTTAATGATATGTCCGAATTGAGAAAGAAAAAGCATGAAAAGGGGAAATTATAGAACAAATATCAAGCAACTCTCATGAAACAAGTGATATGTATTTTGACATAACAAGTTAAGAGACTAGAAATAGTTACAATATATTCATGGATTTGTCAAGTATTTATATCTTGATTGATGCTAATTTATTTTATCAAAAGAAGGAAAAAAAACTAATTGATGTTGAATCTTTCACTAGGTTCAATCAAAAAGAATTTGAGTGGTTTATCTTAGAGGTATTGAATCTATCTCCTCTAACTAAAACCTTTTATTGTTTGGATACATGGAGCTCAAATGTTCCATTTAAATATATGTTTCTTTTCGGTCGTTAGTTCTTTATTTCCATCTTTACCCGCTAATTATAATTTTCCCTCTTGATTATTTTACTTCCTATTTGATAACATCTCATTTGTTTAAAAATTTCTTCTATATGTCGTTATACATCTGAATAGGCATCTATGTGTATTCTCTTACAGAAAGAGTGTAGTTAGGATGCTGCTTTACGTTTTAGGTGATATATTGGGATGTCAATTAAAGATTGCAATAGAAAGGAAGAAGGTCAATCAATCTAGCAGACATGCATTTTGGTTTGCTAGAGAATTATCTCATGTTACGTAAATAGATTTATTCTTGAGTGTTTGAATCTTAAAGTAAGATATATTAAGTTTTCAAAAATTGGTGCATATGGTTCTCATGCAGGAATTGATTTGCAAGTTGTCCTCAAGAAAAAGTCTATTGAATTTATATTTTGATTGCTAAAATGCTACTCCTTTTTGGTATCTATTACTTTTAGTTGAAGGTTGTAATTGACTTGAGAAACAAGCGGCTAACAGCTTGCTACATGAAAGAAAGAAAGAAAAAAAGAAAAAAAGGTTGATCCTTTTAGCATTAAGAAAAAGTGCTAGAGGATTTTTGTAACAGTTGGCTTGTCGATGTTGAGAAGCAAGTAATTTTGCACTTCTCTAAGTCTAAGCTATTATTATGTAAACTGGTGCACAAATTTCCTCCTATTATTTGATGGGTTATGACATGCTGTTGAAATTTCAGTTGCGAATAATTTCTTAGTTTCATTCAATTCTATTTGAGCCAAATATAAATTTAAGTTCTAACCATAATTTTTATGGTAAGGACAGTAAAGAAAAAGTCTTCTAAGAGGAATAATCCATGTTTATTGGAAAACTATCGTAAAGTTCAAAAAATAATTGATCCCTATAAATAGTGATGTTGATATATGGCTGCTAGGTATCTCTGTGCCATTCAGTTTGAAGATGGATATTTTGATTTAATGTAATATGCATGATCACTAGGAAGTGATTGTATTAAACAGTTGATGACATAAAATCACATTCATTGAGTTAGAAGGTGTGTGTAAGAAATTTCTCTTGCTTTTATTTATTCTTATAAAATGAGAATCCCCTGCTGTTATCTGTGTTATCTGTGTTCCTGTTTCTCTGAAGTTACCAAGATTTGTAACTGATATTTCTAATGGTCATACTCAATACAGTTAAAATTTGACTGCACAGTGATTTTTATCATCTGCAGGT